AGTAGCCAGGTCCTTCTCCACCTGGAGTGTTTTCGTCCATTGGGACAACATGACCTAGCCAGCGTAGTCGCTGTCTTTTAATTCGCTGAGCTATTTCACTGTCGTCATATATCTCGTACAGCTCATCGTTCTACCGAATGCGGTATTCGCCGTGGCCGACGCCATAAATCTTTCGCAGAACTTTTCTCTCGAAAACTCGCAACGTCGACTCATCAGTTGTTGTCATCGTCCAAGGCTCTGCACCATATAGCAAGACGGGAATTATGTGTGACTTATAGAGTTTGGTTTTTGTTTGTCGAGAGAGGACTTTGCTTATCAATTGCCTACTCACTCCGAGCTGTTGGCAAGAGTTATCCTACTTTCAAAAGTGACGTGAGAACTTAGTCGCGAGTGCGGCGACTGTTTGTTTGATGACAGCAGATATTTCGTCTTGCCCTCGTTCACTGCCATACCCATTTGCTTTGCTTCCTCTTCCAGTCTGGAGAAAGCAAAACTAACGGCGAGGGTGTTGAGGCCGATGATAACAATATCATCGGCATACGCCAGCAGCTGTACACTATTACAGAAGATTGTACCTTCTCTATTTAGTACTGCGTCTCTATTTATTCTCTCCAGAATCAGGTTGAAGAAATCGCACGATAGGGAGTCGCCTTGTCTGAAACCTCGTTTGGTGTCGTTTGAGAGGTCCTTCCCGATTCTGAAGGAGCTTTTAGTGTTGCTCAACGTCAGTTTACATAGCCGCATTTGTTTTGCGGGGATACCAAATTCAGACAACGCGGCATCCATGCTGTCGAAAGCAGCTCTGAAATCGACGAAGAGGTGGTGAGTGTCAATTCTCCTTTCACGGGTTTTTTTTCAAGATTTGGCGCATGGTGAATATCTGGTAGGTTGTTGATTTTCCAGGTCTGAAGCCACACTGATAAGGTCCAATAATTTTGTTGACGGTGGGCTATCACACAATACGCTCGATAGAACCTCATATGCAATGTTGAGGAGACTTATCCCACGGTAGTTGGCGCAAATTGTGGGGTCTCCTTTTTTGTGGATTGGGCATAGCACACTTAAATTCCAATCGTTGGGCATGCTTTCGTCCGACCATATTTTACAAAGAAGCTGATGCATGCTCCTTATCAGCTCTTCGCCCCCGTGTTTGAATAGCTCGGCCGGCTTTTTGTTTTTCAATATTTTGATTTGTAAAGTATTAAAATCGTCCAATTTCGGTCGCTGGCTTTTTTATTCCGGCTATTCAAAAGTAAAATTGATCAGAGAAAACTTTACGTGTGTTTCACACTAAGTGATTAATGGCAGATTGAAATTTGCTACGAAGCCATGAAGAGGTCGCAATAATATCGGTCGGCGTTCTTTTTGCCATCAACGAATGCAGCTTTTTCAAACAACAGCTACGATGCTTAATGGACTTTATGAAGCAACGTATACCTATGTATTGCTGTTAGATGCTAGATGTACTCTATTGAGTGGTTCTCTTTTTGGTGGTGGTTACACCAGATCAAATTGACGAAATCATTTCTGCGGAAATTCCTGATACAGAGAAAGATCCAGTATTATACGATGTGGCGAAAACCAATATGGTTCATGGACCATGCGGAAACTACAATCTCACTTCGGTTTGTATGTCTGATAATAAATACACGAAACACTATCCACATGCGACACCAGACGACAATGGCAGAACATTCAGCATTCAATTTAGAAGAGTGAATATCGAAGTTGACTACGTAGTGGATCGTACTATACTCACCATTATTGTACATTCACATTTAAAACTCATTTCAATGTTAAGTAATGCAATCTGGTGTAATCGATGAAATACCTTTCTAAATACGTCACCGATGGAAGCAACTTGGCGGTTATTGGTCTTCAACGATACGGTCGATACGTGAACTGTAATAAAGCACTTTGTAGGATATTGACTTTTGCAATTCATGAATATTTTCTGACTGTTGTGCGTCTCACAGTTAATTTGGAGAATACCCAAAGAGTGTATTTCAACCCAGAGAATACGGTACAGCCAGTGGAAACACCGCCAGAAACAAAACAGCCTTCAAATCCGCGTCAATTATCGGAAACGAACAAAAATGACATTGCCGAAGACATTTTACATAGTCTCCGCAAAAAATTGGAAATGGGTCCATTCCGGTTGATACTTCTGGTAGTTCGATATCAATTCCATCCGCCGTTTAGCAATTCCCGAAAGATGAACTCATCACGAATATTCGGACATTGGCCAAATTATCGTTACTACGATTCCCTAAGTGCACGCGCAATGTTAGCTACCAAAAAAGCGGATTTAAAAGTGCATTTGTGATGACAATCAACAGAACACAAAGATAGTCGCATAGTATGTGGCATGAATTTGGAAATGCTATGTTTTTCACACGGCCAGATATACGTGGCGTGCTCACGAGTTGGAAAACTATCTTTTCCGGACACCGGAACAGAAACCAAAATATGTTGTTTATCAAGCTGCTTTCCATTGCAAAAAAAGAATAAATGATAAATTCAACTTTCTTTTCATTTCAAAACACATAATTTCACGCAGGACAACGGCTGCGGGTCCAGCTAGTATGTACGAGGTGTGTTCAAAAAGTATCGCGAATTTTGTGTTTTTTCAAAAATTATTTATTTATTCATGAATATCTATTCCATGAGATACTATACACTTGTGCCAACGGTTTTGCCAATCTTCGAAGCACTTCAAAAAAACATTTTTTTTATCTTCTTCAGCTCCTCCTTCGATGCCGTCTTTATCTCGTCAAGAGAAGCGTAACGTCGTCCTTTCATGGGCCTCTTCAGTTTAGGGAACAAGAAAAGTCACAGGGGGCCAGATCTGGGGAATACGGTGGCTGCGGCATCATTAATGTGTTGTTTTTGGAGAAAAAGTCGCGCACAAGCAACGATGTGTGAGCAGGGGCGTTATCGTAGTGCAAAAGCCAATTTTTGTCACATCTTCTCGGCTTCTGAGAACATTATTTAAAACCGATAAACGTTGCTTCGGTCCAAGGTAGCTTCTCCGCAATTAATTTCGTTTTTCACACAAAATTTGATACAGGTTCTTTGATCCACTTTTTTGAATAGGTAAAATCGAATCCAAAACACGTGCAAAGTAGCTGTCAACAATTAAATGAACATTCAAAATGCCAACATAACGCCACAAAAAATTAGAAATTCGAATATACGTAACCCGCGAAAATTCAAAATTCGCGATACTCGTTGAAAACACCTTGTATATATTTATATATAGATTTTGGTAATAGTAGAATAGCATCCAAGTACGCAGTGCATTAAATTACCAGACAATTTCTTCACAGTTACTACCACAAATGTAGATATTGACGAAATTAATTTCCAGATAAAAAGTTGTTGCCAGGCGGTCTGACTGGTTTAAAATCCACTGTGATGTTGTGTTAATTGTTAATTTGTAGTTAATAGCAACTCGAACAAAATTTTTATCAATCATTTGAAAACTTTGTAGTCATGTTCAATTTAAATTTGTGTACCATCTATGTAAATATGTAATTTTCACATTTATTCATAAATACCATTTTACTGTATTAAAAAGTTTATAATAATATAATTTAGTGTATATCTTAGCCACGACCACACTTGGCCGGGACCCTGTGGTGTAGTATAAATTCAGTCGAATTTTTTTATATACCTTATATATATCACGAAGATATTATCCTGATAAGGTGACATTCTATTTATTTTGAAAATTCTTTATTTATTCTTCCGAATCAATTTCATCCCCTTCAAAGTAATCCCCACTAGATGTAGTACATTATGCCAACGGATTTTCCAATGTTCGAAACATTGGTTGTAGGCAGTTTCCGTAATGGCCTTCAGTTCCGTCTTCGCTGTGGCTTGAATCTCCTCTATCGTATAAAAACGGTGTCACCGGAGCGGTCTTTTGAGCTTGGTGAACACGGTGGTTGCGGAACGATATGGGTTGAGTTTTTTGCGAAATGATCATTAAATGCAAATTCTTTGCTCAACAAATTTCGACATCGCAAAAAAAGAAAAACTCACTTTTAGCAGCTCACAAAACGACACGTATTTCAAATACTAATGAATATTTTGCCATGAAATTTGACATAAATGTGACTGACAGTACTACCAACCTAAAAAATAATAATTCAAAATCAAAGTTTAACTGATATATTGGTTATAAAGTTAGATATTGGCACTGAGATCCACATATTCGGTATCTTTTTGTAGAAAATTAATGGTTAAATATCACGCACTTCTTATTGAGAGATGTCATACTTTGAACGCACTAGTTGTGCAAAATTTTGATCCGATATATATATGATTTATAAGGCTATATTTAGTTACGTACTATATATGTAACAAAATATTATCACTAGGAAACCACGATGTTACCATAAAAAGGTAATATTAAATTTCCTAAGCCGCACGCGCGGGGTCCATATTCGGCATTTGATGGCTTAAAAATTATGGCCCGATTTTGACATATAATGAAATAAAAAAAAACACCAACTATTGCTAGACTTAAAAACTTTAGGTATAACAGTTGTTAAGGCAAGTACAACCTTAGTTCACATTACACCAAAACAAGAAATTAGCTTACATATATAATATACTATAAAGTGATGGAAATGAATATATAGTATACAATATTTGTTAGGTTGTGCTAATTAAATATTCATCAACTTTTACGGCATCTCAAATGTGAAGGAGATTGGATTAAGAGGAGCATTTAGTATTCCATAAAAAAATATCTTTTACAGCTCTGAAACGATATTTACCTTAAAAAATTTAAAAAAAATATTTCATTGAAAAGAATTAAGACGGTAGACAACTGGCAGTATCTGCCGAATATTAAAACTCACAAGTTCTTATGGGCACACTTATTTAGACAACAGACAATAAATATTTAATATGTTCCTATGTACTTCCAATAAAACACATATGTATATACAGAGTTTGAATGCGTTTTTTACTTTTTGCATAACACATACCTTTTTTGACCGTATGAAGGGCTGATGTTGGTTGAATATACAGTTCATCTGCAAAAACAAAAAACATTACTTAAAATTATCGCTGTACTTTACCTATTAGATGGCGGAGCCACTTCCAAATTTTTAACTTATTTAAAACTGCAGGTTCCCCTCCCTAATGCAATTCGTTGTACCAAAATACAGTTAAAAATTCTCAAGAAGCCAAGAACCAGTGTACCAATTTATCAATATATACGGGTATATCATAAGTTCAAGTTTTACATAAATTAGACCTTGAACAGGCGGACGACCGACACACGTCACCAGGATATCAAGCAGCTTCATAATACTGATCAGGTTAATCAATTAACCGTTAGGTGAACACAATTATATAGTAATACTCTGTAGCAAAATGTTGTGAGAGTATAATAAATAACACTTATTTTATATTTTAATTATTAATGAAATACAAAAGTAAACGACGAACTCTGTTTTGCCGTACAGGAAACAAATAAGCGAATTTGGATTTTTTTAAGTCCTTCTGTTTAAATGAGTGAAGCCTCCCCCCACTTAACCTGGGAAAAACTGGCGCAGCCAAAGGAAACACTGCACAATACACCATATCCGATGACACCATACTCATAAATCATTCGTTTATCGACACCTAACCCGCGCGCTGCATTTTAAGATTGAATAAAACATCGACATCGTTACCACCCGGCTACAACAAAATTAAAAAAAAAAAAAAGTGTACCGGCCCTCAAAATATGTGCATGCAACATATGTATATATGTATAAGTCACATATGTATACTTTAATATATACCCTGCCAACCAAGGCTACCCATTTTGGTCAAATATTTCAATACAACTACACATTTTTTCTCTATGCAGTAACACCAACGCACATTTTCGGGTTATTTTTTGTTTGCCTAAATGCGATGAAAAAAGGTTTCTTTCATTTCTTGATTTATTTGAATGAGTGCGAAGGAGGAAACATAATTGTCAATAGTGCCAAAAGAAAACCCCAAAAAGGGTAATAAAAAAAAAAACGATTGAAAGACGCATGTCATTCGTGATAGTACCATCGTAAAGGAAGCTCGAACAACAAGAAGGTAAGTAAGTAAATTGTATGTGATTTTTTTTTTTTAATAATTTGCAAATAATTACTTAATTTGTTTTTATAGCATTGGAAATCAGAATGAATTGGAAATAGCAGCTGCAGTAATATAATCAGAAGCAGCAAATATCAATTGTTACGTAAGCATATGAAAAAAGTGTGTGTACTTAGTAATTGGACATTAATACATACATACATATGTTTTTTATTCGTTTAAGGCGGCCTGCACAATCCAATATAATGTGTGAAAACAAGTGTTGTTTTATGTTTTAAATGATCAAATAATATTTATCTTTTCTTTCAGCTGTTATTATTATTTTTATTTAATTAATATTTGCT